TGAAAAATAACTAATTATACAAAGCCAGAGCATTAAGAGATATCTGTATTTGTCACATCATTCCTGCAGGACAGGCAGTGGTCTGAGCACTTTTAAGCTTTTGAGGACACGCCATCTGATACTGAAAACTTTCTCTAAGTGGTGCTATCCAACATTTGGGCTTTTTGGGCTTAAACCCACACTTACACAGTAATTTCTGACTGTTCCCTAGGAAGCAAGGCAAATTGTGCTGCTTCTGTTCCTTTCAAACACTGCCTAAAACTTTTTATACTGGTGCTGTAAGGGTATTTTGAGACCAAGAGAAAGCAGCTGGTTCCTTATTTTATCATTTAGACAATGTTTACTTTTATCACAGCTATTTAAAAATGCATATGTGTGTATTTATACATACACACAGCTAAATATGTATACTTACAACTCCAGAACTAATGTTCTAAATAACTGTGTTTAAGCTGTGGGAAGGACATAGTAAAGAAAAGGTACTGGGTATGTTTTTAAGTGAGTTTTAAAGCAGAATTTCCGGTCTTTTTACTTGCATCAGCATATTACATGTCCTCATTCTTGCTACTGTTGTTTTTCAATAAGAAAACCCACTCAGATTCTTCTTGAAACACTACCATAAGAAAGCCAGGGATGTCAGCATTGCTTTTTACATGGAGAGCAGCATAAAAAGCAGGTATGCTGTTTAATAGAAAAAGCAATGAGAAGGAGCTGCCATATATCTGGCATGATATTTAGCACAGGAAATTCTTTGTCTGGCTCTGAGAAGGTGTCAGTGAAACAATAAATCATAGCATTAGTGTCATTTTAAAGTGTCTAAAATGAGTAGTGGAACCCAGCAGCACTTGCGGAGGCTGCTCAGATCCCAAAGGATTCAGATGAAGAGCTGCTGAGGTTAAAGGCCACAGCCAAGAACCTCGGTTACATAAATAAGGAATTTTTGAAGCTCTGGTTCCTGAGTTGTGAGTTTTCTCAAGTCTGTCTCAAGCACACACTCGATGTGCTTGCACTTCAATTCCTATCACTGAGAACTGAGCTCTCCTTGTATCAGCACACCCTTTGTTTGTACTGAGGGAACATCACTGTGAAAACACTTTGCTGGAGGCCCAAAGTCCCTGCCAATGTGCAGCAGCTTGTCCTTGCAGTAAAAACAGTCCCAGATCCCACTGAGCAACAAAAAGAAGAGCTGCAAGGAAAGGCTGAAATGTAGCTGCTATCAGTGCCCACATCTGGATGAGACTTCATGGGCTCCAGCTCCTCCTCCTTCCCAAGGACTCGCAAGTGCCCAGCAATGCAGACATTCCCGTTCTGCAGCTCATCTTGCCCCATGCTTTCCCCAGCTACTTTTCCAGGCAGATTAAAGATCAACTATGTCCAGCTGCAGCTCTGTCACCAAGTTGCTGATTGATGGATGCAACTTCAAGATTTTGACAAATGGAAAAAAAAAAAGCAGTAGACTTGATAGGGCTTTTTGAAGTTTAAAGTTTTCTTCATGAAGCCCTTTTGGAATCAGCATATGAAAAGAGGAAGAAGATTTGCAAATTAGTGGTAATCAAAAATCCCAGATAAAACCTTCTGAAGATTATTAGCTCGAGATTGCCTCAAATTTTACACTGGAGACTATTAGACACGTTTCCATCTTATTGAGGACACCTTATATTTCCAAATAGAAAAAGAAAAAAAAAAGAGAAAAAAAATTCCAAACCCCTTCTCTTATCTCAAAGAAAAAAAAACCCAAACAGAATACTTATAAAGCTGCATTTCCCAGCTGCATTTCTTTGGATCTCACCCCACTTCTGGAAGAGAGATCAGCACTTTAATGGAACCTCAGCTGTGTCAAGATGTTCACAGACAAAGAAAGATATTGACACTTTGCCTTCCCAAACAAAAAATTAAGTTAAGATTAAACATATATCCTGGGCCCAAATATTCTGTACACCTACACGAAAATAACTAGAGGTACCTAGTTAATAGATCTGCAAAATAGATTTATACTTGGCCACACACAGATTTATAAAAAAAAGACTGAAAGTAATCTGTCAGGGTAATTTCTTGTCCAGACTGCCTGAAGGGAGGCTGGAGGTTTCCACATAGGTTAAGAAAGCATGGAAACAAGCATTCCTTCATTTAAGAGAGAAGAATCAGTACTGCATTCATTGCTTTCATCTCTCCCTCATCTAAGAGGAAAAAGGTAGATTTCCATTTAAACACCTTTTTTTTTTTTTTTCTCCTTAGCCGAATGTGTGCAAACTAGGAATACAGGATTATTTTTTTAATATGAAATTTGACTATAATATTGAACTGAAAACTGTAAAAGTTAACTGCTGGTAGTAAGTTTTGGCTCTGGCAGGTGAATTTTGAATGTAGGATTTTAATGGCAGAAATCTAATGTTTGCCTAGAACAATGATCAAAAACTGACCATAAATATTCTCTGTTTTCCCCTTTTCATGTCTTCACTTAGCAAAGAGATTTCCTCAGACAACCCAGCTAAACATAAATTAAGAGGGACTTTACGTGTTACCCTGAAACCTGTTGTTAACGGCACCACTTGTGTTTGAGAAAAGCAGGAAATGAATTTGATTCCTTGAAAACTACATATTCCCCCTTCTGTTGGTATTTATTCCTAATGTTGTCCATGACACACACCCACCAGAAACGCACAGAAACATCTGATATTTACTTACTCATTAGCATTCAAGCTAGCTGTGGCTTTGATGATCATGTAGCAGAGTGTAAGGGCACTGAGGAGGCCAAAACTGGCAATAATAAACCATTCTTCTGTTGACAAAGGAAAGGGAGGAAATCACTCGTGGGAGAAAGCGATGCCAATATTTCCCTCAAACACCACTGGCGGAAGGCAAGAGGCTTCTAAGCCATGACTGGCCCCAGGAGGTGAAGCAGAAGGAGGTTAAGCCACAGAGTTACTGACGGGAGAAGGCTAGCAAAGAAGAAGTGGAGAGAGGTGCAGAAAAAAAGCATGGCACAAACAGTATTTCCTGTCTGAGCCCAAGGGTTAGTGATAAAGAAGTTACTTAACAATGTAAAGTGAAATGCAGGATCAAGGGAAAATGTAATGAAAACTCTGTCCACCCCCAAGTCAGAAAGACGACTGTCAGGTTGGGTTAGGTTTGGTGAGATGCAGCTCTTTCACACAAGCACACCCAAAATACTGTCACACTTCAACTGTGTCTTTGCCCCCTCCCTCCTGAATTTATGTTATAGGGTTATTTAAAACCCAACAAAAATCATGACAGATTGCTCAACAGTAAAACGTAACTACAGTTTTTCTACTTAAGAGACAGATATATCCATGGAAAAATAATTTCAATACTAGGGTAGACATATACATATATTAAATAAAAAGAAGTCTAATAAAGAATGTTCACTATTCAAAATTCTCCCCAGGATCAACCTAGCAAACAGTAACAGTTCAGAATACAAACACCATTGATGAACAGCTTTTGGTTTTAACTCTCATGCATCAAAGAATGCAGGTGTCACCCATAAAATACAAACATTTCAAGAACCCTTTCTAAAACTTCACTTTATAAATATTGTCAGAATGAACTGTTGGTGGTTATTTCTTGTTTTACCCCTGCATCCCATCTGTGCACAAACAGCACTACAGCTGGGAAGAGACAGTAAAAAACACCTTCTGAAAAGGCAATTAGTAAAAAGAGAAAACTACAGTTTTCCCACCCATGACAAGGAAGCATCACAGCAACGGATCTGTTCCTGTTCAACACAACTGAGTACAAGGTGAACCAGAGGTTGAACACTGGATGGCAAAGTGACTTACTGGCTTTGAGGAGAATCCAGATTTTGTATGTGGATTTTCCCATCTCAGATCAGGACATTTCTAGATATGGACTATGTTTTTCATGACGTGAGTTTTTTTTTTATTGAAACATTTACTATGTTACAGTATCTAAAGAAACACTCTTATGAACTGCATTGGTTTCACTGCCTTGTATACATGTATCAGTGGCAACCAGTGTCACTAAGTTCAAAATCTAGATCACAGATGCACATAAACAAAATACAAGGAGAAAATTAGACTGTTGTACTGCAAGGATTCTATTTTTCAATTCAGCCAGAAAAACAATCATTCATGCATGAAGTTAAGACTGTACAGCATATGGAAAACTGATGCAATTCCACACAATCTGTATTTATTATAGTGTGATTGTACATTAAAAACCCTAGGTAAATTCCAGTAAGTGGAAATTTTCCATGCTACTCTTATGGATAAGAGCTTTCAAGCAATGCAGGAACAATTTTTTGATGTTATAAAACACTTGGACAATACTCAAATGTTGGCGCATCAAATGCTTCCTTAAGTCACAAATTTTGTAAGAAAAAACACCTGCTAAGTGACGTCAGAATTCCAGTAGCAATGTTCTCAGGGGAAAAAATGTCTGCATAAATAGCTATCAGCTAAAATATTTATATTTGCATCAATTATTGCATGTAAAGTATTCTGAAGAGATAAATACCAGTTTTGGCAATCCAGCTTCTTGTGCTGGTTACCAAATTCAGGAAGGTTATTTTGGTGCCATTTCAGTTCATCCAGGGTTCTTTGTATGCGGATCTAAATGGATATACCATTAATAATGGAAGTGTTGGCACTGTCATACCTAGAGTTATTGGTTCCAATAAGGAGCATATGCCTCTTGCAGAGACACTGAGGTCACCTTTGTCCCTGCAGGGACATCCATCACCAGGCCCTGCAGCACAGAGGGACACACACACACCACGGAAGCCGTAGATGGTACCGGGAGCCGAAGGACACTTACTTGTCACTGCAATGTTGATCTCTCCTGACCTTGGTGTCAGCTCCCCGTCCTGTGGCAGCTGTGACATGCCCGAGGTGCGCAGGGGCTCCAGGCTGAGGGAGCTGTCGGTGCCGAAGTCGCCGAGCGCCGAGCGCCTGCTCGCCGGCTGCCCCCGCGTCAGCCTCTCCATGTCAAAGGCGACATTATCTGTGCACGGCACGTTGGGCTGGGGGAAAACAGCTCCACGTTATACTGGGGAATGAATGTTCCACATGCAGCACCCCCACACATTGAATGGAACCACGCACACACATTCTGTTCAGCTGTTGTGGCTGTCCCGAGGTCACAGAGGTGAGAAACACATGAATGAACAACTTCTACCTCTTAAAGAGAAGGAAGAAGCAGAAATAAGGAAAAAGATACAAGGGAGGGACTCAAGTACACCTGTATCATATAACCTGTGCCAGTATGGTTTAGCACAACCATGACAAACTCTAATTTCTGTATCCTCTTCTAAAAACCCTGGGATGTTATTAATTGCAAAAAGGTCATCCACAAAATATCTGCTACTATTTCTTAGGAAATGTGCAAATTTGCAACTGACACAGCTGAAAATTGAGGCCTGATTATTCTGTCTTGAATCAAGAGCCACTTTACAAAGTCTGTCCATATGTTCTTCTCTTACTTTGAAAAGAGCATCACTCCCACTTTGTAATTTTTTCCTCATACAGGAAAGACTAAAAAAATCTGCGTTGAGGTTTCACTGCTTTCCCTTTGTGAACTGGTCAATGAAAGCAGTCCTCAGGGATCCCGTAAGACATGAACTGCTTGAGGAAAACTCACTGGCCTTGGCTAGGGAGAGGCTTTTAATGTGCAAATTTAAGACTGCCTACAGGAAACCACAAGAACAAGAGATACAGAGAGTAAATTTAACAAGAAGAGTTGAAAGGACTTGAGAAAAAGGAAGATTACAGAGAATCTAACATACTTCTGGTAGATACTTGCCATAAATGCAAATATAACAATATAGTCTCAACTACCAACCAGGGAAAGAAGGAAAAACATCAAATTGGCACCAAAGAAATTTGTAAAAAATCCCAAATATTTTTGGAATAAGGGTACTGGAACACCCTTCCCCCTCTCTCCCCTACAATTATTCTTTCTGTTTTAGGTCTCGGACATGGGAGGAAGAGAAAGAGTTCACAACCAGGCAACTTACCACAATTCCCAGTGCTTTCAGGATGTTCAGTTTACACATTGGACACGTGCAGTGCTCACTGAGCCATGGATCCACACAGACTTTGTGGAACACGTGCCTAGAAGTACAGAGAAGGCACATAATAATTTGCAAACAATTCTATTTAATACAATGAAAGTACTTAAACTTTTGGATAATTGGGGTTTTTTTTCTTATTTTAAAACACATGCAATTCTTATAATTGTCAGTATTCTGTTCTAATTGCAGTAATTAAAAAACCAAAAATATTGCTTGTTGTTGTCTTTCTTTACTAATAGCTCAATTAGGAGGAAACACTTGAAGATTTTCGTTCCCCCCTCACTCCTCTCCCCCTTTTACTGTGGATATGAATAGTGGATGCAAGGTAGAAGAACCAAGGTAATGCTACTTCCACCACAACCTTGTATACAGACTTGTCTCAGTTTTGATGCAGAATCTGAGCATAAACTTGGTAGGAAGAGCACAGACCCATCAGCTGTCAATTTTGTTCACAAGTCAGTGGAACCAACCCAAACACACTCCTGTTTGACTTTGAAAAGGCTTTTATAATCATCATATTGAAGTAAAAAGAAGGCTTTCCCTGCCATCAGTATTTCTTGGTATCAAGAAAGAAAACATGCCCATCACCATACGGTTGTCATAAAAATAAAAGCAAAGGCAAACCGGGCTTTCAGAGATGGAAAGGCAAATTGGGCTCCTACTTGCAAAGCAGGGAACTCTGCAATAAGCAACAGTCTGAATTGCCTCCTACATTGCATTCAAAATCTTAGTCACATACATGGATATAAATGCAAATGTTGGGATTTATATAAACCAGTATAACATGGAAGGACTATGCAGAGACCAAAACAAGGTATATAAATTAAAGGAAGTAAAGGAAATGCCCTCTTTGCTTTTCAAAAGGCAAAGAACTTTTCAGAGCATATTCATGGCAGGAATGGGTATCACAAGACTGTCTACCCAATATAGCCTTAGCAAAAATTCCTAATAACCCAGTCTGAGTAACTGCCTATGTTAATTCCTATGATAAGAGCCCTGATCCTTCATTTCCAGTGGTGCTGACTGCAAAACAAGAAGTCAGTAAGAGCAGGCACACCCAAACACGACAGACTGGTGATCATGACAAAGACCAGCAATTACAAGGGCTGCTTAGTCAGCAAAGAGCTGTGCTCTGGAGCCAGAAGAGAAAGGGGCAGGGGCAGAACAAGCAGGTCTTGGCATCTATTTGAGGCATCAGCAGGGTCTGGAAGAGCTGGCCATGCGTGCCCCAAAGCAGCACAAAGCTGAGATACTCTCTCTGTTCCCTCTTTGATCAGGTTACACTTGTGCTCTGTGCCTGAGAAAACTCATCATGGAATCTGGGAGTTCTTTGCTCCCTATCCCTTGAGATTTTAAAACCAGAGACCAAATGAAGCATGTTACCAGATAATTCTCTCTTAAATCTCTGGAAAGCAACCTGAAAACTGTTAAACATGGCAAAAGACAGTATATAATTATATAACAGTCTATGTCTACTCAGGCTGATGGAGGGACTAAAGAATAAAAACAATGAAGTTCTAAGCAGCTACAGCTGTATATCCTACCTGTAGTAACTAAAGATGCAGAATTAGAGTTTAAAATAGCTAACAGAAGATGGACAAGCAGCAAAATAATTTTGCTTATCTCTACCCCAGATAATGCAGAATAGAAACTTAAAGGACCTCAGTTAGCCACTCAGCTGGCCTGTGTCCTCTAGCAAGCTGGCAGTCACAAAAGACAGGGTATGTACAGGGCCTTCTGTTTAAATCATCACCCAAAATAGACTCACTTCTATTATTATTAAGATGTAATGCATTCCCTTTATACTCACAAAACTACAATAAACAATATTTAAATACTCTGGGTGATACATAATGGTTTGAAATATTCTGAGACATACAGAGATGCTATTTTTCTATGTTAGGCATATTATGACTTTTATTTGCTTATGTTTAAAGTCTCTGTGTTTTTTAAAGCAGAACAAACCTGAAAATCTAGTATTTTGGGCAAGAGCAGACATCAAGACTCCATGGAAGTATGAAAACAGCTTTATTACATCATTATTGGCTAATCAGTGCTGTAGAAGCACTCAGATCAAGTGAAGCAGGCGACTGATATAGATGCCAACATGTATCCACTAAATATTATGAGTTATTTTAAAAAGTCATTAGCACTTTGATATATTTATATACACAGCCCAATTGTTTTTATGACCTCCTAATTCTTTGCTTTCAGTTCCTAAATCTTCAAGGGTATTTATTAATGTGTTTCAAAGAAGTGCAGTTCTCCAAAGGTTATTGATTTAGAAAGCATGGCTCTGCCTACTACTTACACAGTTTCTCTACCTCTTAAAAAGTTTGCTGATAGCATCATTGTGGCTCAGGCTCTGTCTGCATTTCTCTGTTTGCACGAGTTAAAAAGCAGTTATACAGCAACGATGACAGCAAACAAGAATTATTTCAAAACCTCACCCTGACCAAGTAAGCCCTTACAATTTCTGCTCTCATAAACCTCCTCCACCTTCCCACTTCTGTACTTGGTATTCCAAGACCATAAACACGGCGAGTTCTTGGTCACGACAGCTGATGACGTTCCCCAGGAGCCACATGCTGGGCTGTGACACAGCCCCGGGCTGGAGGAAGCAGGGCCAGCCAGGCTGGCAGCACTGACGGAGTCTCCCATTGCGGGCACAGCTCCAGGCAGGTGACCTGCAGGTATTTTTCCACTCTGTCAGCACACTCAATCCGGTTGCCCTCCAGCTGGTAATAAACACCATAACACCGACTCCTGTACAACATGGCTTCTTTGCAGCATTTCACAGGGGAGAAAGTTACTTAGGAATCTCTTTTGGCGGCATAAGGCCTCCAAATTCACACGTCACAAAAGAAGGGTGAATGATTTATGAGTGCTGTTTCCCTAGAGCTACCTACATTTCCTTACTCTCAGTGCAGCATCCACCAAAGGGACCTTTTCTGCTGCAAAGCAAGTTCTTTGGCTACTGCTGGAGGCAGCTGCTCTCCTGGCCCTAGGGTCCAAGGCCCTGCAGGAAGCAGAAAGGATGCCATCAAGACTCTATGTTATTTTGGTCTTAAAAAGGCAGCTATTTGCAGCAGCACCGAATCAAATATAAAAATCTGAAAATCCCGTTTAGTCACTTTTGTCACTTTCCTCCTTCTTGCCCAAGACAGGAATTAAAACTTTGGCTCAAAAGCCATTTAATTTTATAGTATTCACTACTCTTTTAATTTTCCTATCTTGTAATGCCTTCCTTCCTTGGCCATCTTTCTGCCCTTTCCAATGTCATTTTCTGTTCTTCTCTAACCTGTCACTTTGCTCTCTCCTTCCCTTATCTCTCACTAATCCTTCACACTACCCACTCCTGATCACTTTTCACCTAGTGCCTGTTCAGCCCCTAGGTGCAACAGTGTGATGGCAGAATAAAGTTATCTGAATAAGGAAAATTGTCCATGATCTTCTGCTAGGATCCCTCTGACATTTGCTTCCTCTACTTACTTTTCACTTCCATAAGGACATTTACAGAAGACACATTCCTCAAGCTTGGAAACCTAAAACAGATGGCTGCTTGTCCCTCTGTGCACTAAAGCTCTAGGTATGTCCTTAGGCTGCTGGTACTGAACACCTCTCTCTGAAGCACAAAATGAACTACTGCAAACAATGCAGCTGAATTTCTACCACTTCACTTTCATTTTTAAGCTTATTTTTCAAGTTTATTTTTAAGTTGGCCACAATTTCCCGCATGCCACAAAACTTTACATCACAAATGTGGTGCTTCACTACAGAATTTTAGGTGCAACTTGCCCAGCTGCTGGTAGATTTTGCCTGCTGTGTGTCTGCCCAGACCAGATTCCTCTGCTGAAGCACAGTGTGACAGACCATACTTAACTGCAGAGAACAACTGTGCTGCTAAAGGGAAAGGCTACTTTTAAATTGATGAAAGCAGCAAAGATGCCACATGTCAGTGATTCCTACTGTCTAATGATTATAACAGGCACAGTGAGAACTTCTAGTCTTTTATTTGCTTCCTCTTCGTCAAGTAATTTTCTCCATGGTTTCCTTGCAATTTATTTTCTCATCTGGCTTAGAAATTCTCTTGTAGGCTTTGTTTTATTGTCTATGTGCTGTTTTTTTTCTTTTTTTTTTTTTTTCTTTTTCTTGTTTTTTAACTAACATTGCATGCTGCACTAAAATGGAAGGTTGAAATATGAGGAAGCAGAAAGGAGTTAATCCTCCATAACAAGATTTCGGGAGAAGCATCTCAGGTACTGAAGACTGAAAAATTTCACATGGAATCTGAAATTTATTGGGCCCATCTTTGAAGGTACTAGTTGGCTTTTCATCTACAAATATAAAAATGTCTTGTGAAAAGCATCCATCTCACTGTGCCTAGCCTAGATGGTTCTGCACTTAACTTAAAAGCTGGGCTGCAGCAAATGAAAAGTGAGATGTAAAAAATAGGTAAAAAGTGAACATAAAAGTTGTCATACAGCCTTTGGCAGCAATGTAATCTGAGCCTTCACTGACCTTACATTCTTGTGAAAAACAGAACAGAAAATGATCTACACAAGAGCCTTGATCTCTCCTTTACATGGGAAACTGCACTGGGGCAGGTTGTGCTGAGGTGGCAGCCAGGTGCACCTGCATGCAGCTCCCTGACAGCTGTAACTACCCCTGAGAGCCCAGAGCCTCCTCTCTGCAGGACTGCAGCTCAACAAGGGTGTCTGCAGAAAAAGGACTTTATTTCTTTTTAATTAAAATATCAATTATCACCTTGTTCAAATGGTGTGTATGGTATCTGTGGATATCAGCAACATATCCACTCCTTGCAAAGGGACAGTTGTTTATCTAAGGAAGTTGGCTTTTAATCCCAACTCTGCCTTGTGCTCAGTGGGAACAGCTGTTTTCCTATCAGGGAAAGAGTCATTCTCTCTTCAGTGGCAAGGACCTCCTCTTGGCCTTTGTTCAGTACCAAGAGAAAGGCACAGAAGAGTGGGACTTGTGACCTTTCATTCC